GAACGAAGTACGGGCGCGGCCGTACAGTGCCTCCAGCCCCTCCAGCTCCAGGGTCAACAGCTCCAGCTCCTGCAGCTCCAGCGCCTCCTGCGCCAGGGCCTCCAACTCCAGCGACACCAGCTCCAGCGCCTCCGGCGCCAGCTGCTCCAGGCTCCGTAGGGTCTCCAGCTCCAGTAGTAACAGCAGCACCTCCAGCTCTAGCGTCTCCAGGCTCGCCAGCTCCGGGAGCTCCACTCCGACTGTGTGCGCGCTGAACAAGCCACTCACGCAGCTGCTGCAAGGACAGTCGCGGTGAAGCACCAGCAGGACCTCGAGGCTCAGCACCCCCAGACTCCGCACCCTCCGACTCAGCACCCCCAGGCTTCGCACCCTCCGACTCAGCACCCCCAAGCTCAACACCCTCAGGCTCAGCACCCCCAGACCAAGCACCCTCAGACCCCGCACCCCCCGGCTCCGCACCCCCAGACGCAGCACCCCCAGACGCAGCACCCCCAGACGCAGTACCTGGAGCAGCACCTGAGACGACTGCTACCTGAACAGGCATAGGACCAGGGAGAGGGTCGACCTGAGACACTCCCGAGGGAGCAGGACCCTGGGGCTGGAGGGGGTCTACCGGAGGTGGACCGAGAGCAAGGAAGAGCGGCGGGGGTGGGGGAGGGGCAGAGCGGTAGGGGAAGAGACGGTAGAAGGGAACCGACTCGTCGAACGTGACGTCCTGAGAAGGGAGGACACGGCGCGAGTTGGGGTGGTAAAACTGCCAGCCAAGCGCGTCAGGGACAAAGCCAAGGAAGACGCAGGGAATGGCGCGGGCGGAGAGCTTGTCCGCGGACGTATCACGAACAAAGGCACGAGAACCCTAGACCCGGAACACCGACGCATCGCCAACCGTCCCCGTCCAACGCAGTGTGAGCGAGGTCTCCGGCAAGGAGACACGGGGCCAAAGGTTGAGCTGACGCGCAGCGTACCGGACCGCAAACGGCCACAGAAAATGGGGAGCGGCCGCATGGATCATGGAGGTACGAGCGACCTCCATGACTAAGCCAATGCGGCGCTCAGCAATCCCATTTTGCTGAGGGGAGTCCGGAAGCGTGAACGACTGGGTGATGCCCTCCCCACGACAAAAGTCCCGCAAGAGGTTGGAGGAGAACTCACCACCTCTGTCAGAGTGCAGACGCAGGGCAGGAAGGTCCTGGCCGAACCGCTCGCGCAGCTGGAGACAGACTGTGCAGATCCAAGGGATCAAGACAGCAGAGACCTCACCCTTGCTGCACAAGGGGAAGACTGTGGTGTACCGCGTGTAGTCGTCAACGACCAGCAGAAAGTAGCGCTCGCGGCCCTGTCCACTGACGCGGGCTGGGTCCCACACGTCCATGTGGAGGGTCTGCAGGGGAGAAGTCGTCGGGGGAAACGAGGAGGAGTGAGGAGCGGCGCGCTGCCGCCCCTTGACGCAAGGAAGACAGGGCGGGGCAGGCGAGGGCGGTAAGGGAGGCAGAGACCTGGGGAGACCAGAGACAAGGAGATGGGAGTGCATGCCACAAAGGCGTGGCAGGGAGGGGTGACCCAGGCGGTGGTGCCAAAGAAGAGTCTGGTGCGACAGAAGGCGACACGAGCAAGAGGCGGCTACCTGACCTGACGCGGACACCTGAGCAGACGCATCGACCTAAGGAGGCTCAGTAGCCAGTGTGTACAGACTCGACCCTGGCCGACGAGTGAACGTAGCCAGGTGACGCCCCGTCCGTGTGCACGTGCGGATCGACACACGCTGACCCCTAGGAGTGTTGGTAGTGACCATCGCATCCTGAAGGGCAGCGGTACTCACCAAGTTCGTAGAGAACGAGGGGAGGTGAAGACCTGACAGTGAGCCGGACGGAACTGCCGGACACGGGAGGACAGTGGAGGAACTGGCAACGACCGGGCCCCCAGAGGGGTCAGCCAGTCTGAGCGGAACAGGTGCAGGAAGAGGAGTGAGAGTGGTGCTGTCACGAAAGAAACAGCGCGAGGCGCCGGAGTCCAACGTGAAGGTGTGCAGGGCCTCAGCAGGCGCAGTACCAGGGGGAGTACAAGACGCACTAGCACCTAGAGCAGCAGCGGCTATACCTGGGTCAGGCGGCACACACCGATAACAGTCACCCTCAGCACTAAAAGACAAAGCATACATGGCAGAGATAATAACATCAAAGTCTAGGTCAAAAATAGCAACTCCTGACTAAAGCAACTGCGCCCAGTGAGGGCGCTCGACGTCGTCACCAAACTCAGCACGCCAGGCGTCGTCAAGGCGGGCAAAGCAGCGGCGCTCAGTGTGAAACCTCCCGCATGTCCGGCCCGCACGGGCACCCATGCGAATGACATACGGGCAGGTCTCACTACCCTCACCCGCCCCACGCTGAACCAACCACTCACGGAGATGCTGGGGCGTCTAGGTCTCGCTCCGACGCTGCTGCTGCCGGCCCCGACCACCACCAGGGCCTCCACGCTGAGGTCCAGACCGACCACCACTGGTCCCACCGCCTCCACTGCCGCCACTCCCTCCGCTGCCTCCACCGCCGCCACCAGAGCCTCCACCGCCGCCACCGGTCCCACCGCCGCCACCACCTCCACCGCCTCCACCTCCTCTACCGCTGCCCCCACTACCGCTCCCACTGCCACCTCCACCACCACCGCTGCCTCCTCCACTACCCCGTCCACCCTTGCCCTTGCTGTTGCGGTGCTTCGCACTAGTCGAAGCAGCACCGACGTCCTCAGGAACAGAGACGTCTGCAGCAGCAGAAGAGGCAAAGGAGGTGGAAAGGGGGGAGGGGGAGCACCCCTCAAAGAAGGGTGAGCGCGGAGTGCCACGAGCAGCACCTACAGCAACTGCACTAGTCTCAGCTGCAAGGAGATGCTACTCGAGGAGGGCAACAATGAGGGAGGTGGGGTCGAGGGTGAGGAATTGGTCCCTGACAGAGTGAAGGGAGTCAGGGAGGCGAGTGACTATGAAGTAGAGGGTGATGAACATGGGAGGCTGGTTCGTGGGAAGGAACTCAGCAGGGACGGTAGCGCGGTAGCGAGCATCGCTAGTGCGCAGGTGGGTAACCAGGTCGGCTACTGTGGCAAAAGCCGACAGCTCAGGGAACAGGTAGGGCAGTAGCAGCCTGCCAATAGCAGCATTGGCAGGGGAGGAGTAGCGAGCAACTACAGCGTCGTACAAGGCCTGTGCTGTCCTGTGCTCGCCAAAGTGAGCACATTCGGTCGCGGGCAGGTGGTTGCAAATGGCCAAGCGGGCAGTAGCGTCACGAGACAGCCACTAGGAACGAGTCGAAACGTCAGCTGTGGCGGGGGGGGCTGGAGCGGCACCGGACACGTGGTCAAACAGTGAGACACTGTCCTTACTATCGCTCAGTAGGTACAGTTGCAGATCGTCATGCCACGTGTCAAATGCTACAGGTCTGCCCTCCGAGTCGAACGGGAGAACCCTAAGCGACGCCATAGTGGCAGCAGTAGCAGTAGCGAGGGGGGGGGGAGCCGAGGGGCCGAGGGGCCAAACACGAGGGCCTAGGGGCAGAGGAGCCTAGGGGGCCGAGGAGGCCGAGCCTAGGGGCCGAGGGGCCAAACAAGGGGCCGGGGGGCCTAGGGGGCCGAGGGGCCAAACACACGAGGCCGAGGGGCGGGGCCGAGGGGCCAAACAAGGGGCCGGGGGGCCTAGGGGCCGAGGGGCCAAACAAGGGGCCGGGGGGCCTAGGGGGGGCCGAGGGGCCAAACACACGGGGCCGAGGGGCGGGGCCGAGGGGCCAGACAAGGGGCCGGGCGCAGGGCTCTGAGTTGGGGCCGAGGGGCCTAGGGGCCGAGGGGCCAAACAAGGGGCCGGGGGGCCTAGGGGCCGAGGGGCCAAACAAGGGGCCGGAGGGCCTAGGGGCCGAGGGGCCAAACAAGGGGCCGGGGGGCCGAGGGGCCAAACAAGGGGCCAGGGGGCCTAGGGGCCGAGGGGCCAAACAAGGGGCCGGGGGGCCGAGGGGCCAAACAAGGGGCCGGGGGGCCTAGGGGCCGAGGGGCCAATCAAGGAGCCGGGGGGCCTAGGGGGGGGCCGAGGGGCCAAACACGGGGCCGGGCGCATGGCTAGGTACGGGGCCGGGCGCGGGCTAGTTACGGGACCAGGCGCTGGGCAGGTACGGGGCCGGGCGCTGGGCTCTGTAGTGGGGCCGAGGGGCCAAACAAGGGGCCGGGGGGGCGAGGGGACGAGGGGCCAAAGAAGGGGCCGGGGGGCCTAGGGGCCGAGGGGCCAAACAAGGGGCCGGGGGGCCTAGGGGCCGAGGGGCCAAACAAGGGGCCGGGGGGCCGAGGGGCCGAGGGGCCAAACAAGGGGCCGGGGGGCCTAGGGGCCGAGGGGCCAAACAAGGGGCTGGGGGGCCTAGGGGCCGAGGGGCCAAACAAGGGGCCGGGGGGGGCTAGGGGCCGAGGGGCCAAACAAGGGGCCGGGGGGCCTAGGGCCCGAGGGGCCAAACAAGGGGCCGGGGGGGCCGAGGGGCCAAGGGGCCAAACAAGGGGCCGGGGGGCCTAGGGGCCGAGGGGCCAAACAAGGGGCCGGGGGGGCCTAGGGGCCGAGGGGCCAAACAAGGGGCCGGGGGGCCTAGGGGCCGAGGGGCCAAACAAGGGGCCGGGGGGGGGCGAGGGGCCGAGGGGCCAAACAAGGGGCCGGGGGGGCTAGGGGCCGAGGGGCCAATCAAGGGGCCGGGGGGCCTAGGGGGGGGCCGAGGGGCCAAACACGGGGCCGGGCGCAGGGCTAGGTACGGGGCCGGGCGCGGGTGTCGACGGGGCGTGATTTTTTGCCAAACTATTCTCGATCCCCTCTTCTTATTGGCAAAATGGCTCGTGGCAGACCTCCTCCTCTTCCGTGCTGTTGCCAGCAGTGAGAGCGGCAGCAGTGCAGACAGCACGCAACACAGTGGATGTGAGAGGGCGCAGTGCAGAGGTGCATTAGCAGCGGTGGACCTAGCAGTGCAGTCCGGCCGGTACCCGGTTTGAGAATGCCAGCGTCGCGTTCGACCCAGTCTCCCTGCGCCCCTCCTTCCACATCCTCTGGGGTCTCCCCGGCACCTCCCACGCCCTCTCTCTCGCTGCCTGCCGCGGCCTGCCCCCCTCCCTCGCCGCCAGAGCCGCCAGGCTCGCCCATGCTGCGAGTCTGGAGGCAGGGGAGGATGAGGAGGAGGAGGAGCGGGATGAGGAGGAGAGGAGGGAGGGAGAGGAGGGCAGGGCATGAGGGGAGAGAAGGCAAGGGGGGAAGAGTGAGGTGGACGAGTATGGTACCCTGGGAGCAGGAAGGAGAGAGGGTGAAGAAGTGGGAATACTAGCATCTCTCAAGCAGCAGTGGCAGCGAAACGAGGAAGATGCGAGAGAGGCAGCCGAGGCAAGGCAGCAAGCAGAGAGGCTGCTGAAAGACCTTCAGGCTCACTACACCAGCAGGAGCACCTCGCAGCAGGGCCAGCAGGAGCAGCCTCTGCGTGTGAGGGAGGTGCTGTGGAAGAGAAGGTATCAGAGGGACGTTCAGGAGGAGGTCTTGGCAGCGAGGGAGGAGATCTCCTGTGTTGTTGCCGCTTTTCAGGAAGCCTCCCTTGCTGGTGTTCCGGAGCGGGCGGCGACGGAACAGGCCTGTGCTGATGTGGCAGCAGTGGCGGCTTTGGCGGGCCTCTCTCCCGAAGCTGATTCTGCTTTGGTTTCAGATTCTTCAGTTGGCTCCTCGGGGGGGTATTCGGGAGGGGCTGACTGGGTTCCTGTTCTGGGGGAGCCCATGTATGTGAGGAGGTTCGGCACCAGTATGCGTGGTACGGTGGTGGCAGTGGGCGGTGGTTCGGGAGAGGGCTCGGCAGAAACAGCAGGTGCTCGGTCTGTGACGGTTCAACTGGGAAATCTGCGATTGCAAGTGCAGAGAGCAGACCTCCTTCCCGCCGCCGATGGCAGTGGTGGTGGTAGGACTGATGGAGAGGCAGGAAGGAGGGGGCCCACAGGAGGGCTGTTTGGCAGCCAATGGGAACATGATGATGACAGTAACGATAGCAGCAGCACGAATAGTACCAGGGGATTGAAGCGTGGTTGTCAGTTCCCCTCCCCGTCCTCCTCCTCCTCCACTCCTCTGCCAGTAGTGAGAGAGGCAGCAGTGCAGACAGCGCAAAACACAGTGGATGTGAGGGGGCGGAGTGCAGAGGATGCATTAGCAGCGGTGGACGTAGCAGTGCAGTCCAGCCCGCCTGGTGCTGTGCTCTTCATTGTGCATGGGCTGGGCACTGGGGTGCTTCGGGCAGCTGTGCTGAAATATCTCTCGGGTAGCCCGCTGGTTTCGCGGCACGAGGCGGAGAGTAGGTTGAATATTGGGTGTACTATTGTTTACATTGGGTGAGGAGAGGGTTTGTGTTGTGGTTGCAGTGGTGTGGGTGGGACTGTTGCTGGCACGGGTGAATAGAATGTATTCAGTCAGTGCTTCCCTTGGGAAACAAGGCAACAACCCGTCACTCCACTGCGGAAACTGCAGCAACACATTACAAGTCACTCCACTAGGGAAATGGAAGGCACTTGGCTACTTGCAACAAGAGGAGCCCGACACATTCATTGCTTACGCTTGATTGTCAACTCATGATGGTTCTTGCCAGGTGTCACAGCTTTGTAGCGGCCAGAAGAGTCCCTCTCCCTCTCCACAAACCATATCAGCATTGCGCCTTTCCTGATAGTATTCCACGTTGTGTCAAGATGCCTGCAGGCACGCCCGTGGTGGGCACGCCACCCTGTTACGCATTCTTGAGCTCAGCAGTGAACTGTTGTGGGTGCAATAAGGAGCAGCGTCAGAGCCTGGTGTGCAGCCCTGATAACCGGCTTGCCGCGTCCTCGGCAGTTCTAGCCAGTCGCACCGCGTCAACTCGTTGCCACCTTGTGCCAGATTGTTGCGACTGTTCACAGGATGATGGGGCGCTCCTTTCTCCATGGTCGCGTGTTCGTACCACGGTAGTAACGATATAGAGTTGAGTAACCCCTTGATAATGTGCATACCGCATGTGAGCTTTGAGTTGTTGTGTTTGTTCATTCTGAACTTGTTCGTGTTGAACTTGTCAAGCAGTACACTCATACTGGTTACATAATACATTGGTCATTCATGGGCATCTCCACCCACACCAGACACCACTTCAGGGAAAGTAGCGGTAGCCGGAGTAAGCAACGACACTCGGCAACGTGCAACGTGAGGAGGAGCACGACGCGTTTTATTCAGAGCTAACTCAATGGTGGTGGAACTGGGTCGGTGTGAAGCGTCAAGGGGCCAGGAGAGTCGCCCCACTGAAGAGAAGAGGGTCCCCTCCCCACTCAACCCATGTTGGGGTTGCCCTGTGCCACACTTCCACTTTGTGCCAAGCTGCCTCTTTTCAAAGCAAGCACCCCTCAGGGATTCGCCCCTTGCTTACTCATCCCTTAGGATAGCTCAGTGAACTGTTGGCGCAACAAGAAGAATATTAGCAAGGGGCGAAGAAATCAGGTTGGAGGCTGATTTGCATCCCTTACCAGAGATTGACAACATACAAAATGTCCAGAAGCCAAACACAAGCTTACCTGCCCCTGGTCCTTCTGGAAAGCTATCGCGCTCACTCCAGTTTCGAGTTCCGAATTATCTGAGAACAAAAGCAAACCAAGTCAGCTCCCATCATCCAAAACATTCTCTACACACCGTGGTTGAAGGACAAACACACTTACAATATCCACCAAGTTTCCCATTAAAAGCCATCCACTTGTTTCTCCCCGTGAATAGCTTCGCCATGTCTGCATTCGATGTGGAGCCGGACATCTCGCCTTGCACGTGAACAAACTCAAAAGACTGCGGGTTGTCCTTGGGCGTCCATACGACTCCTCCGTTGGCCGTGAAATCGAAACAAGAGATCCCAAAAACATAGCAATTGTGATCACCTGCGAACGAAAGAGAAAAACAGAGCAGCAACAGCGTTCAGCCTTTGCTTAGATGACTGCAGGACAAGATACAGAGTGTTACTCGAGGTACTACTCACCAGCTCCAGGGTAATGCTCATGGTTTCCTTCCGAGACATACACAATGGGATGTGTTCCCATCACCGTAGCAAATTCCGATGGCTTGGGGTCGTCCCAGTCACCCCCTTCGTCCCACGCCCACACGGGGCCGTCGCCGTGCTGCGCGTACCAAATGCGCTGCGGCTGGCCGGTCTTTGAGAAGCGGATTGCAATCGCCACCAGGTCCGTGATGTGGTTGTCATCCCCAGCAAGGGGGTTGACATAGTTCTGCAAACGACAAGGGTTAAATAGTTGAAACAGATTGACAACATTTTACGAAAGGGGTGTGGGAGTGAGAGAGGGGAGGAGACAAAAGCAAGTACTTGAAACCAGGGTACCACTTGGAATACTCACATAAGGGTAGAAGAGCCAATACTGAATCTCCACAAACGAGTCTTTGTCGTCGGGTTTCGGATTGTAAATGACGGTGTACAGCTTCGTCCCTCCGTTTTCCGGGTTGCGCGCCGAGTCCGTCACCCAGGGGGTTTCCTGGTGAAACTGATCCGGACTGAACAGGACAGTACTCCCATGCTCGCTCTTCAGATTCGGATTCTCCAACAATGTATCGAGGTTGTCAGGAGTGATCGGGCCCGTCTGGTAATCAACCTGATAGTCTGTACCATCCTCAGTAATAAAACCTTTGGAGGCAGTCACGTGTGTGAGGTACTCGTCAATTGTGATTGGCCAGATATCCTCGTCGGGGTGGAACTTGTACTGCGGCGAGTACTCGACGGCCAAGTTCTCCCAGAACGGATCGCACGCGGGGTTTGTTTGCGGGTCGGTCATGCACGGGTCGGCAGGCGTGGGCGGGTCCACCGTGCCAGCAGGCATGGGCGGGTTGGCGTTGCGAACCAGCATGGTGAATTGTTCCTGAAACCACTGGCCAGCTCGCGGCGCGTCTGCTAGGGCGTCCAGGCCAAGCGGGTCCAGGGGGTCGCATTCGCGATCCACGGGAATCGGCTCCGAAATCTCCTTTTTGAATTGAATACATCGTGGAAAGGGAAGAGATATGAGCCAAGGGGAAGGGAGAAACTCTCTGTGGATGCATGCACCAGACGAACCACACGAAAATTGTAAATGCAGGCCGCGGAGCTAGGACACTTACGCGTGACCTTCACTCTCCCCAGGCGGCTTGATCCAGACCACAGCGTCAACTGTCGGCAGGCAAGCAAGGTAGGGAGTCACAAGGGGGGAACGATAGTAAAATCAGAAATCGTATTATAGAGAATAAAACGGATAAAGGCAATTTGGATCAGCACGAAGAAAAGAAGCAGGATGCTATTGATAGATACCAAGTGCTCACCTTGCGGAGCATCAGCGGGATACGCCTGGGGGCGTTCTCCGATCCCCGCGTTCTTCACGTTGCACCACGACCCCCAGCGTGTGCGAATGCCAGCGACGCCGGGCCGGATGGTGTCCACAATCCACCTGGTGGGCAGTCCCGCGGCCCCCAGGAATGCATTGAGGCGCGCGGTGAAGCGGTTCTCGTCAATGCACGGGTTCCAGTCGTAGTTCATTTCGCCCGTGCTCGGGTTCTGTGCGAGCGGGCATTTCTCCGACGCCGGGCAGCCGTCGTCGGACGCGAAGAGCGGGCTGTAGTTGGCCACGTTGGACGCGAAGCCGCGGAACTTGGCGTTCTCACGGATCTGCCGCGCGCGCGCGAGGACTTTCATGTACACCGCCATGACGCGCTTCATCACTTCCGGCCACCCTGCTCTTGCATTAGACGGGGAGCGGATTAGGGGTTTAGGGTTGCCGGTCGCGCTGTCAGTAACGCGGTAACCGCACGACGTGCCATTGGCGGCGACCAATTCTGTCGCGTTGATTGCCCCTTTGAGCCAGCACGAGCCGCCATTTTCGGCCGTCCACGTCCAATGCGTGCAATCCGCGCGGTCGAGGCACTGCTTTCCGCACGTGTCGCCCATGCTGGTGGCTCGGTCAATGTCGTTGCCCTTCCAGTCGCAGTCGAACGACCACATCACCCCCCTCTGCTCGGAGCTTGAGAAGTTGAATGCTGACGTGGCTCTCACTGAGAGATTGAGAGCCACCAGCACTACTACTAGTCCTACCAGTGCCAATGCGTTTCGGAAACACCCAGTCACCATCGTTTCGGTTGGTTGTTTGGAAGGAATATTTGAGTTTCGAATAATTGAGTTTTGACATACTCAAGGGACCGTCGTATTTTATAGCGGGGGACCAGAACTGCGACTCGGATCGCATCAGGGGGAAGCTTACAATGCCTCTCGTTTCCCATACTGCTTTCCGACCTTCGGTCCGAGACGTGATTTCTGAGAATTCTTGGTGACGCCATGGCTTGTGAGACAAGTTCCCGTGTAGGTGTTAGCTGCACACGGGGTTCTGTAATGTGTGGATGCCGTGGCGTGCGCTGGTGAGGAAATCTGGAATCTGCTTGCGGATCTGCAAGGGGTTGTCCGAAGGGAAGGGATACTTCATAGATGTAAATGTGATGCAGTAACATGTTTAGCGATCAGAAAGCTGACCTGAAACCGTAACCGTGAGCTTCGTCGAGCAGCCACAGCTCCTCGTCCGCACTTCGCCTTGCGCCTCGCCCACAGAGGCGATGTTTTCGACACCTCGTCAGGCTTCGTCAACTGAATGCGATGTTCCGTTGCAAGCAGACCTGATCAGACCTGGACTAATCCAACAACGTCCACCAACTGAGTGCCTCGTCTTCTATCAAGACAATCAATGGCGGCCCTCATCCCCTTCGGTACGTCAACAACTCCTTTCCTTCCCCCTCCCTAGATTGCTCTATCGCTCGTGTCTAGTTCTCGTGCTCTAAGTACATTGTTTCCCCATGTCATGTCAGGCCCGTAGCGGGAGTCGCGGCAGCACAGACAATGTGGAGGGTTGGCGCGAGCAAGCAGACGCTTCACCACATTTTCGATTTCTGTAGACGAGCCGTGCATCTCTACGGCAGCTCCAAGGTGACTATAACGAGCCATTGGCACATGTATGATTGAACGAGTCAGCAGAGCGCGCTCCCCTCACCGTCAGCTACGTCAGACACGGTGGCGTCTCCTTTCATCATCTCATTCCACTCGACAGCCACTCCCCTCCTCGTCGCCTTTCTCTCCCCGCTCCTCCCATCCCCGCTGCCAGCGCCATAGGCTGCGCCAGCTGTACCTCCCTTCGCTGCGTCACTCTGTGCCTCTCCGCCTGTTTTCACCCCTGCTCCCCGCTCCACCCATCCCCACGCGCGCCATCAGCTGTGCCAGGTGCACGTGCGGGTGGGTCGGGGTTGAGCGAGGAGCAGCGGCGGGCGACGAGGGAGGAGCAGCGAGAGTGGTAGCAGCATGAGTGGTAGCAGCACGAGCGGGAGCAGCACGAGAGGGAGCAGCACGAGTGGGAGCAGTACGAGCGGGAGCAGCACGAGCGGGAGCAGCACGAGCGGGAGCAGCACGAGCGGGAGCAGCACTCCGTGTGCCACACTCACAAAGGCTCGGGAGATGGTTCGGGAGAAGGTTCAGGTTCGGCAGCAGCGGCTCGGTTGGTGACAGGTCAACTGGGGAACTTGAGAATGCACGTGCAGAGAGCAGACCTGCTTCCTGCTGCTGATGGCAGTGGTGGTGGTGGGCAGATCAGGACAGATGGAGAGGCAGGAAGGAGGGGGGGAACAAGAGGGCTGTTTGGCAGCCAATGGGAGGAAGATGACGACAACAACAGCAACACCAACTCAAATAAGACTTGTGTCTCGAAGCGTGGCGGTCACCATATCAGCATTTCGCCTTGCCTGATAGTATTCCACGTCATGTCAACCTGCCTTGTGCCACAGGCGCGCCCCCCTGCTTATGCTCAGCAGAGAACGGTTGGTGGGTGGGTGCAGTAAGAAGCAACGCTAGAGCCTGGCGTGCAGAGCAGCCCTGATAACCGGCAGCTCATTGCCAGCTCGCTGGGTACTCGGGTCAAGTAGAGATGACAGGTATGGGTGAGGGTTTGCTCGAGGCAGCCACACCGCGTCACCTCGTTGACACCTCGTGCCAGATTGTTGCGACTGTCCAGAGGATGATGAAGCGTTCCTTTCTGCATGGTCACGTGTTAGTCCTTGATGTGCGTTTGTGAACCTTGAGTTTGTGTATTTGTTCACGGCAATGGCGAACTGTCATGCACTACACTCCTGGTTACATACCATAGCTTAATAAATAGATCATTCATGGGCATCCCCACCCACACCAGACACCACTTCAGGGAAAGTAGTGATAGCCGGAGTAAGCAAGGACACTCGGTAACGTGCAACATGAGGAGGAGCACGACGCATTTTATTCAGAGCTAACTCAATGGTGGTGGAACTGGGTCGGTGTGAAGCGTCAAGGGGCCAGGAGAGTCGCTTCGCTGAAGAGAAGAGGGTGTTGGAAACAATTGATTTAAGCGCCTCTGTCGTGTCGAAACACCAAGACAGAAGCGAAGCGAAACATATCGAAGCATCAGCGAGTCAACCCTCGGAGGTTGAACAACTGCTGGAGGTTACGCGAAAGTCAAAGGTCAGCGACCTTTGACCTGACAAATACAGCGCGACAGCAAGGACAAACAACTGACTCGCTACTGAGCAGTTGCCGGAGTCGACACTGTATCGAACCGCAACAGCAACAGTAAAACGGTTAGTAACCGTATCTCTTCATATTCCTTGTATCCTTATAAAAGCTTGTATCTCTTTGTTTTAATCAATCTACTTTGCCCTCACATACTAGCGCAAGGTGGTTCACAAGCCTTTTACTTAACGCTTCCGCTATTACATTGTCCTACCCCGAATTTAGTCCTGCAAAGATCCTAAGGGCGTTTTCAGCCCAACAGAGGGTCCCCTCCCCACTCAACCCATGTCGGGGTTGCCCCATGCCACACTTCCACTTTGTGCCACGCTGCCTCTTCTCAAAGCAAGCACCCCTCAGGGATTCGCCCCTTGCTTACTCTAGAATCCCTAGCGCAGCAGTGAACTGTTGGCGAAACAAGAAGAAATATTAGAGGCCGATTTGCATGCCATGCCAAAGAATGACAACATACAAAATGTCCAGTAGCCAAACACAAGCCTACCTGCCCCTGGTACTTCTGGAAAGATATAGCACTAACTCCAGTTTCGAGGCGCGTAACTTCTTTACCGTTGGAGAGCCAACTCATATCTGCGAACAAAAGCAAACATAGTCAGCACCCCTCATCCGAAGCATTGTCTACACACCGTGGTTAGGGCGAACACACTTACAATATCCGCCAACTTTCCAATTGTAAGCCATCCACTTGTTCCTCCCCGTGAATAGCTTCGCGCGGTCCGCATTCAGCATGGAAGCGGACATCTCGCTCTTCACGTGAACAAACTCAAAAGCGGATTGCGAGTTGTCCTTGGGCGTCCATACGGTTCCTCCATTGGCAGTCTCGTCACAATGGCCCACGTTGCAATGGAAACTACTACCTGTGAATGAAAGAGAGGAACAGAGCACCAACGAGGTTTAGCCTTGGCGTAGAAAAGGGCGGGCGAGATGTTCCACGAGCTACTCACCAACTTTATGGTAATGCTCATGAGTTCCTTCCGCAACATACACAATGGGATGCGTTCCCATCACCGTAGCGAACTCCTTTGGCTTGGGGTCGGCCCAGTCAGCTCCCGTGTCCCACGCCCACATGGGGCTGCCACCGTGCTGTGCGTACCAAATGCGCTGCGGCTGGCCGGTCTTTGAGAAGCGGATTTCAATTGCCACCAGGTCCGTGATGTGGTTGTAATCCCCAGCAAGGGAGTTGACAAAGTTCTGCAAACGCGAAGGTTGAAGTCAATCTTGAATGCTTGGAACACTTTGCCAACATTTCACAGAGGGGTTGGGGCGGAGCGGGAGTTGCGGGAGTGAGAGAGGGGAGGAGACAAAAGCAAGTGCTTGAAACCAGGGTACTACTTGGAATACTCACGTAAGGGTAGAAGACCCAATACTGAATCTCCACAAACGAGTCTTTGTCGTCGGGTTTCGGATTGTAAATGATGGTGTACAGCTTCGTGCCTCCGTTCTTCGGGTTGCGCCTCGAGTCCTTCACCCAATCCGTATTCTGATTTATGTTATCCAGAATTTGCATGACAGTATATTTACGCTCGCTCTTTAGATCCACATTCTCGAGCAATGTATTGAGGTTGTCGGGAGTGATCAGGCCCGCTTGGTATTTTACCTGATGCTCCGTATCTCCCACAAAATACGAACCCATGGAGTCATACACGTGCGTGAGGTACTCGTCAATCGTAATTGGCCAGATGGTCTCATCGGGGTGGAACTTGTACTGCGGGGAGTACTTGACAGCCAAGTCCTCCCAGAACGGATCGCACGCAGGGTTCGTTTTCGGGTCGGTCATGCACGGATCGGTAGGCGTGGGCGGGTCCACCTTTCCAGCAGGCATGGGCGGGTTGGCGTAGCGGACCAGCGCGGTGAATTGCGTCTGGAACCACTGCCCAGCGCGGGGCGCGCTCGGTAGGGCGTCCAGGCCCAGTGCATCATCGAGGTTGCACTCGCGATCCACAGGGAAAATGCCCAGAAACTTTGTTCTGGGGAGATGAGAGGTTGGAGGAAGGACGAGAGATGAGTGAAGGTGTACCGACAAGCATAGCCAACCGTTTCAACATCTGATAAATGACCCATTGGCAAAGAGGAAGGGACACACGCACTAGGAAACTAGTACGACGCCACCAGAGGTGCATAGGAGGGATTAGGTACTTACGAATGGCCATCGCTCTCCCCAGGTGGCTTGATCCAAACCAGAGCATCAACTGCCGGGCAGGCAAGCAAAAGGTGTGTGGGAAAGGGAGGGAGCCGCATGAGACCACCCAAGGGAGAAGCCATTCCAAAACAGGATCGGTGGGAAAAGAAGAGGAGAGAACAGCAGCAACAATAAAAAGCAAGGGTTCTCACCTTGCGGAGCATTAGCGGGATCCGCCTCGGGGCGCTGTCCGATCCCCGTGCCCTTCACGTTGCACCACGACCCCCAGCGGTTCCGAATGCCAGCACGGCCGGACCTACTCGTGTCAACGATCCACCTGGTGGGCAGTTCCGCGGCTGCCAGGTACGCATTCATGCGCGCCGTGAAGCGGTTCTCGTCGATGCACGGGTTCCAGTCGTAGCACATCTCGCCCGTGCTCAGGTTCTTCGCGAGTGGGCATTTCCCCAACGTCGGGCAGCCGGAGGCGAAGAGCGGGCTGTAGTTGGCCACATTGGACGCGAAGCCGCGAATCTTGGTGTTCGTGCGGATCTGCCGCGCGCGCGCAAGGATCTTCTTGTACACCGCCACCACGCGCTTCATCCCCTCCGGCCACCCTGCTCATGCATTGGGAGTCGAGCGGCGTAGGAGTGAGGGGCGAGGTAAGCGGGAGAATCCGAAGTGAAACGTCGGAAGCACAGCTATGGCTGAAGTGGGAGGACGAAACGGAACGGGTGGCTGATTGGCATGGAACGGAACGAACTGCACGCGGCACACGCACTCACCGAGCCAGCCGCGAAAGCCCGAGTCGAGATAGAGCGTGGTGTCGGGGATCTGCGAGAGCTCCGCGATGGCATGTGCGACGCCCTCCGTGTACTCCTTGTCTGTCGTCGCGTCACACCGATTCGTCCCCATGTTTGTCGCGATGTTGGGCAGCGAGTCGGGCTCGATCACGAGCGACAGGCGCACGTTCGCCGCCTTCTTTTGAAGGCACGCCATGGCAACGTTGATGTACTTGGTCTTGTACGTGTCGAAGCCGCCCTTGGGAATCTCCTCGTTGGACGACCACGCCTTGCAGTCGCGGCCCGGGAGATCGTAGATCACGAATTGCACGAGAATCGCCTTCCCGCCCGCCTGAGCCGCTGTGTCGCTCAGGTGGCCAGGGATGGAATCTAGGGACGCCATCGTGTCGAGCCACGGAGCCTTCGGATATTGTGCCACGCTCGCAAAAAACGGCCCATCCGAGGGAAGCGCGGTGCGCACCGCGGCTTTCACGCTCGCCGCGTACCCAAGGTTGAGGTACGGCTGAACTCCTATATACGGGTTGCCGGTCGCGCTGTCGTCGACGCGGTAACTGTTGGGTGCAAATTCACATTGCACGACATCCTGCCGTCTGTTTGTACGAGTATGCGTGTGCGAATGCGTTTGGGTGTGAATGGAATGTTCGTGTGTTTGTTTGCTTTCGCAATTTTTGCTTGATGCATTTGCAGGTACTCTCGCAATGTGCGCTTCGGCACAACATTGTACGCGCTATGAATAGTGCAAGCAGAAAAGACGAGCTCGCAAAGGAACCCAAGATGGAAGCTTTGCAGTTCGGTTGAATTGAATGCGCAGATTCAGTTATATCCAACTCGAAATTGTACTGTTTTGTTTGGTTAACTATAGTGTACCAGTGCAGGCATTATAGGGGTACAATTTAGGTGAAGGTTGGATGTTGTTTGTCTGTATCTGCATACTATAGGGCCAGGGGAAACCAGCGGAACCAGCATTTGGCCGGTTGGGCAAAGACAAAACAGGTTCTGTTTTTAGGACCTGAACTTGGTTGTTGTTTTCCCTGGTTGGAAAAACAGAACCAGAGGTTGTTTACCAACCTACCACCTGCTGTTTTGTCCAGCCAGGTTGGTTCTGTTGCTTGGAATTATTTGGGATCATCCCTGGTTGTTCCCAGGTTGATTCCCAAGGTCCTTGCTAGCTAGAACTATATATTCCTTGTCTGTTTGTACCTGAATATAGTCAATTTGATTCAAGCGAATTCCTTCCGTGCTGGAATTTCATTTCTACGTAGTGCGACGGCGGAATGCTACCAAGTCAACGCTAGTACGCTAGCACTACGACGCTAGGCCAACGCTGTCCATTTCGTAACTCTGCAATGGCAGAACTTTTCGCGAGGCAACTTGGCTCTTTTGAAAGCTCTTAGAGTGAGCTTCGATATAGCGAGTTCTCAGCTTAATCTGATCGACGATCTGCACGGCACGCTGCGCGACGTTCAAGGTAATCTTGCTGTTTTGACTAAGTCCCTCTTGATCCCTCTACAAATCGGACCCGAGGATAGGGGCTGGTCTTGTACCAAGCACCCAAGGACCCTTGGAGGTGACCCCGAGGAGAGGTTTTAAGTTGGATAACGTCTTAATAGCCTGGGTTTATTAGGCCCTTACACTAACAACCTGGTATCAGAGCTGCGTTATAGTGATCCTCGTTATAGGTAGCTATGGCGGGAAATACCTCGGCGGGAGCTGGTGAATCTTCAGCCCAAGATCGTAGCGGCAGCCACGATTCTGGTGTTTCGGCGCCAAGGGGAGCGCGAACAAACCAGGGCTCGCTGATCAAGGAGGTGCTGAAGAACTTCACCGTCGAGAAGTTCAATGGTGAGGGCTATGATGATTGGGCCTGGAAAATGCAACTTTATTTTCGTCAGATTTGATTGCTGAAACTAATGATTGGGGAGGAGCCTAGACCGAGTGACCCCGCGCTGCAACAAGATTGGGACGAGCGCGCCTCGGCTGGCTACTACTTGATGTCGCAGAGTTTGGAGCTGAACCAGCGTCACCACGTCATGCACCTGCTGCCGAAGGTTGATTGCGGTCCAAAGGCGTGGACCGTGTTGAAGGAGCTGCACGCCCCGACCTCCGTTGTCGCAACGTTGATGCTGGAGAGGGAGCTGTCCGCGTTGCGCTTGAGCGAGGGAGAGCCGGTGCAACCTGTTTTGGACAAAATGCGTGACCTCTACGCAAAGTTGGCGACCGCGGGAATCACCTACCCGGAGCAGACCAAGTGCTTGAAGATGCTCTCGCTGCTGCCGGGATCGTGGCTTCAATTCACGAGCGGATTGAGCCTGCCGCAAAACCAGAGCTTGTGGACGCTCGAGTGGGTGCAGACGAAGATTCTGGAGGAGGACTTCCGTCGTCGCCAACTGAGGGGTGGAGACGACGGCAGCAGCGGCTACGGGATGCAAGGGAGCCGACGTGGCAGAGGACGTGGCTTCGGTGGTGCTGGACGCGGTGCAAAGAAGGACGACGACTCCAACGACCAACAAGGGGTATCGGTTGGGGTCGCGGTGCGAAATCTGGACGTGGGGGCAAGTCGGGTGCTGGTGGCAAAATGAAAGGGAGTTGCTGGTATTGTGAGAAGGAGGGACACCCCTGGTTTTTCTGCTATAAGAAACCCGATGGATGGACCCCCCAGAATCGTCACCAGGATGGCGGCGCGCGGAGGAACCAGAAAAACGACGCGAACATGGTCGCCGATTCGTCCGACAACAACCCAAAGAGCAACGGCGGTGCAGAGAAGAAGAAGGAGCGCACCGCGGGCCAGTTCTTCCATATTGGAGAGCAGGGGGAGCAAGGAGACGCCTCTGCAAAGGTTGGAGCAGAGCTGCATCCTCTGGACTATTGGGTGTTGGACACGGGTGCTGCTTGGACGATGACGCCGCGCAAGGATCTGCTTGATGACGTACGAGCTGTACCGATCAACGAGGTATGCTCCGCCTCTGGACACGCGCTGAAGGTGGCTGGTGCGGGACGAGCTGCATTCAAGGGAGCGGATGGCAAGCCGGTGGTGCTGCACGACGTTCTCCTCGTTCCTGATCTCAAGGCCAACCTCATCTCCCTCCGTAAGCTTGCCAAGGCTGGGGTGAGCACTAGCACGGATGGGGCACGCACGTACAAGGGGCAGCTGGGAAATCGGGTGCTATGGGAACTGCACGAGAGCAAGGATGTGTACAGATCCATGTGGCAGCTGCTGGCGTTGGCGTGGCACGGTGGGGGGCAGGCTGGAGAGGGGTCTGCATCCCAGGGGGAGTGCAACGCCGTTGGAGGGGTTGGTGTGAAAGTGTTGGCCAGATCTGGGGAGACGGATTGGGCAACGGCACACCGACGCTTGGGGCATGTGGCAATTCCCTTGTTGAAGCAGCTAGAGAAGGATGGAGCCATGAAGGGTTTGAAGCTGAACGGACAGCCACCCGATGACAACTGTGAAATATGTTTGCTCTCAAAATTCACTCGTTTCCCCTTTCATAGCGTGACTGGCAGGAGCAAGAAGCCTTTGGAGCTGGTTCACATGGACTTGCTAGGGCCGCTGCTGGTGCAAGGGCACAAGGGGGAGCGGTATTTCCTAACAATTGTGGATGATTGGAGCAGACTCATGTGGGCATATCCGCTGAAGCAAAAGGACCACGCCGCCTCTACAATACAGGAAGATTGGCTGCCATTGGTGGAGAAGCAAGCGGAGTGTGTGGTGAAGCGGATTAGGACAGACCGGGGTGGTGAGTTCCTTGGAGCTGAGATGACGGCATGGCTCAAGAAGCAGGGCATTTAGAGGGAGCTGACCACGGCTTACACCCCGCAGTCCAACGGTGTAGCAGAACGGGCGAACCGGACCATTCTGGAGAAAGCTAGGGCGCTGCTCATAGAATCAGGGGTGGGCAATTCCATGTGGCCCCATGCTGTCCGGCACGCTACCGTGGCTAGGAAAAGGGTGCTCACTAAGTTTGGTAATGAATCGTGGGTGCCGCTGGAGAGGTGGCTTGGGAGGAAGCCGCCAGTGGACATGCTGAGGGTGTTTGGTTGCATGGCAATCGCCCACGTCCCCAAGAAGTATCGAAGTAAGTTGGGGGCGAGTGCAATCTGGTGTGTGCATTTGGGGCTGGCTGCTGAGAGCAAGGGATGGCTGCTGTGGGAACCATCCAAGGTTGTGTTGTTTGACAGCAGGGATGTGAAGCTTGTTGAGGGCATGATGTATGGGGGCTGGAAGAAACAGCCGGAGACTAAGGTGTCCCAGCAGATGGAGCAGATCACCATGCAGCTGGACCTGACTCCTAGTGTGTGGGAGGAGGGAGAGGAGGCAGCTGCAGAGGGTGGTGATGGAGAGAAGGTGCAAGAGGCACCTGCTGGTGGAGGAGATGATGTGGAGACTAGTGGTAGCACCAAGAGAGCTGCTGGATCTGAGGGAGGAGAACAGCAGCAGGGAAAAACTAAGGTTCCTGCGCTACCATCAAGGAGGAAGCCGAAGGTTGTTGTTATGAGGGGATGGGAGACACCCGTCTCCAGGCCAGGACGTACCCGTATGGCCACTATGAAGCTGACTGCAGGAGCTGATGTAGCAGAGCAGCAGCTTGGGAATGAGGAGGCATTGCTGATTCTACCGCATGGCTATGACCCGGATGAGGAGGATGAACATGCCTACTGTTTTCATGCCCCTGCACCAGAGGAACCAGCAAGCATGGAGGAGGCATTAGCTGGACCAGATAGGGAGAAGTGGCTGGTTTCTAGGGATGCTGAGTACCAAAGCTTGCTAGAGAATGGGACATGGGATCTGGTGGTGCTGCCTGAGGGGAAGAAAGCCGTACAGTGCAAGTGGGTGCTAAGGATCAAGACCAGTGACAAGGGACAGGTCACCATCTATAAGAGTAGGCTGGTGGCTAAGGGGTTTATGCAGAAGGAGAAGCATGACTTCAATGAGATCTTTGCTCCCACTGCCAAACCCCCACCCTCCGTGTCTTGTTGGCATATGCAGCCGTTAGTGGGAAATTCATCATTCATATGGATATATCAACGGCATTCCTCAATAGGATTTAGAGGAGGATGTGTACATGACGCAGCCGCCTGGGTATGAGGATGGTACGGGCAGGGTGTGCAAGCTGAAAAAGTCCATCTACGGCTTGAAGCAGGCGCCACGCTGCTGGTACCAGAAGTTGGCAGCTGTTTTAGAGGAGATGGGATTCAGGACTAGCAGCTGTGATGAGAGCCTCTTTCTCAAGGGGGATGGGGAGAAGCTGGTGCTGTTTCTAGTCTACGTGGATGATATTCTTCTCTTCAGCAGCAGCATAAAGGAGATCCAGAAAGTGCAGCAGAAGCTGATGAAGAACTTCAAGTGCAAGACCCTTGGGGAGGTAAAGTACTACCTCGGGA